CTCACACACACACACACACACACACACACACACACACACACACACACACAAATACACCCGCTCCCCTTCCTACTCGGCCTTCTTGCACCCTGGCAGCTATGGCCGCCGTCTTCCTGCGCATCTACCCTAATTCTGACACTCGTCGCCCTTCTCTCTCTCTCTCTCTCTCTCTCTCTCTCTCTCTCTCAAATACACCTGCTCCCCTTCCTACTCGGCCTTCTTGCACCCCGGCAGCTATGGCCGCTGTCTTCCTGAGCATCTACCCTAATTCTGACACTTGTCGCCCGTCTTCCTCAACTCTCAGCCTGACTGCACAATCCGTTGGTCGCACAAGCGCTACAGCAGAGCGTCTGCAACATGTGGATTGACAAGTGACCTGAAACTGCACTGTAGCAACTAGAAATAGCAGCAGTGCGGCAGCGGTGAATCATTGTCAGCTACAGATCGGTGCCGGTTGACCCGGCCTTTTGGCTGCAAGTTGCCAGTTCCAGAACCCACCGGACTTTCCCAGGATGCTGCTTCAAATCAGTCTTGGATTGCTCACTTCCCCTTCCTGAATACACCCGCTCCCTTCCTACTCCGCCTTATTGCATCCTTGCGGCTATGGCCGCCGTCTTCCTGCGCATCTTCTTCCTCAACTCTCAGCCTGACTGCATAATCCGTTGGTCACACAAGTGCTACAGCAGAGCGTCTGCAACATGTGGATTGACAAGTGATCTGAAACTGCACTGAAGGAACTATGAATAGCAGCAGCGCCGCAGTGGTGAATCATTGTCGGCTCCAGATAGGTACCGGTTGACCTGGCCTGTCGGCTGCAAGTTGCCAGCTCCAGAACCCACCAGACTTTCCCAGGATGCTGCTTCAAACCTGGACTTCGGGACCGCAGACGCTTTTTGTCGGGTATCGGATGCTACAGACCTACGAGGCTTCGGACTGTCGACCCCACCAGACTCCTAGGAACCCCTAGCTGGAACCTACAGGGACGAACTGGGAGTGGGCCCAGGTGGGACTTTGGGGCCGGGACTTGGGCCATGGATGCAGCTTGAAGTCCTTTCAGAAGAGTTCACATTAATACAACAAGCATTGGTGAGAACGGGTTTCTTATGTATGTCTTGTCTGTTTTGAGGTCAATCAATTCTGTGCAATGTTGTGGTAAGGTAGACTCTGTTTTCTTAACTGACTGATGTTATAAAATGTGATCATGTGTGCATTTTTACCCTTGGAATGCGAATGTGCATTCTAAAACTGCGTCCATGAAGTTTGTAGTCAAATAGCAGTGGGTGCAGAGGTGGGCACAAGCACACACACACACACTCAGGGAGGAAGAGAGAGAGAGAGAGAGAGAGAGAGAGATGAACTGTCTGATTTAAAAATGCCACAGTGTCGAGTTCGAAAAGGGCCTGGAAATGAGGTTTAGGCCAATTCAGGATGATTATTGATCATTCAGAGAGAGAGAGAGAGAGAGAGAGAGAGAGAGAGAGAGAGAG